ACTTAAAACAAACAATCAAATGCGAATAAGAATATGAATGCAGGTTTTTGGGGCCCAAATATTTTATTTTTGATTATCCGTCAGTTGTTTCAGTTGGAAAAATTTGGTCGTAAAAATAAAAATTCTGAATGTGAAAACAATAATAATATTGAGGTTCCAAAAATGCTGATTATGATGAGAATCTAAGAGAAGATACTTTGTTGTTGTTTTTGTTGTTGTCGTTATTATTATTATTATTATTATTGCTGTTTGATTATATCATCATGATGATGATGATGATGATGTGAATTTGAGGCCTAACCGAACAAAACAAAATAAAAAAAAGAGATAATAATTTTTTTTCGGTTTTGAACAAACAAACAAACATTCGTAGAGAAGACGAAGAAGAAGGAAAACAACAATGTTATGTAATGTTTGTTTCAGTCAGTCAGTCAGTCGAAAAATATAAAGGTCATCAAATTGAAATTTTTATGACCATTTTTTCTGCTTGTTTCAAATAGTGGTCGATTATTCGGTGGTTGGTTGATGGTTGATGGTTTGATTATTTTTTTCCAAATGACCAAAAAATGTTATCTCGCTCAGTGTCTCTCTGTGTTCAGACAAAGATGATTATGATGATGTTGATGAGGCTTTTAAACAAAAAAAGAATCGATAATAAAATTAACGATAAATTAAAAAAAAAACGCATAAAGTTTATGACTGGGGAAAAATATTTTCGGCAATCAAAAAATTTCCATAAAGTTTCTTGCTTCCTTCTTTTTCGTCAATTAATTAATTATGATTATGAATTTTTTCAAAAAAAAATCAAAAGTCAAAAATCAGAAAAACTCTCATTCAACCACAACAGACCAAATATTTAACCATTGAGCACACCGAGAGGGAGAAACATTGAATTAACAATTTGTTGTTGTTTGCTTGTAATTTGTAATTATGATGACGACAATAATCATAATAATAATTGTAAATGATAATTGTTAATGATATTTGATGATCATCATCATCATCATCATAATCATAACTTTCAATGGCTACAATTGAAAAATTTTGCTTTTCTTCAATGAAAAATATTCAAAGTTTTCAACAACATTCGCTATTCAGAAATGTTTGAATAAAAATGATGATTATGATGATTATGATGATGATGATGGTGGTAAGCAAAATGTTACTTTGCTTGTTTCAAACATTCTGAATCCACCAAAATGAATGATCGTCTACTACCGCCACCACCAACGCCACTACACCAGGTTTTATTGAATGGATGTTTTTTCAATTCAGGGGAAAAAATGATTCTCATTTCGAATCGCCGATGATCCGTAGTGGTGGTAATAATGGTGGTGGTGGTGGTGGTAGTTTTCGAGAGAAAAAAAATCTATATCCTTCTGCATTGCAGCAACTGTATACACCCCACCAAAACGAAAAAATCAATAACTTTATATATGAATTGTTCCCACTACAACAACAACGAATGACATCAATAGATGTTCGAGGTTATGGACATTATCATCATCATCATCATCATCATCGAAAATGGTATATACCGAGTATTAGGAAAGAAAATGTCTTTGAAGAATTCAAACACAAAGAAATCCTTGTTTTTTTTTGAAAGTTTTGAATATCATCCATATATTTTTGTTTATTCTCTTCAAAGTTTTCATAAAAAGGAAGTAGAATAGAAATAAAGTTAGATCAGAATTTAACATTATTCTTTACTGCTACTACTACTTTGTTGTTGTTGTTGGATTTTTTTTTATCGCACCCTCTTCCTTCCCTTCGTTTTTCATTTTTTTCATTTCAAAAATCCTTAATTTTTTGAAGGAAAGAGAAATTTGAGGAGGGAGGAAAAGAAATGATGATGATCATCATCATCATCAATATTTGTTGTTGAAGAATCCATGGAAAAAGAATGCTTCAATGATGGAGAGAGAGAGAGAGAGAGAGAGAGAGAGAGAGAGACGAAAAAATAGTGTCAAAATTATGGAATGAAATATGTGTGCACTATCGTTTTGTTTGATCTATCAATGGACACGCCTATTTCAGTTTATTTTAGATGCGCATTTCGAATATTTATTTTCGACAATCGACAAACGCAGTTCTTTGTGTGCTATAGCAGGTTTGGCTGGTTCTCTTCATTCATTCATTCATTCATTCAACAAAGAGAACGAGAGTGTGCGCAAATCGAATGTATCGAATGAAAAAAAAACAAAAATCAGGCGTGTCCAACCATTTTTCTGTGTGTGTTTGTGTGCACGCAAACGAAGCTAAACAAGACTAACTTTTACCGAAAAAAAAAATGAAAAATTTTACCATTGATTTTGGGTGGATGATGATGATAATGTTTTCCAAATGATTAAAAATAACGAAAACTTCGATTGATCAATGAGACAATTTTTTTGGATTCGTCCAATTCGTTTTTCTGAATTTTGAACAACGACGAAATCGAAATCGATTGGCCAAAATGAAAAATATTGAAAAAAAACCGAAGAAACAAGCGAAAAACTGCTGAAAATGAACGAACTTTTCTTTGGGATTTAGAGATGCAAAGATGTTAACTTTTTTCCATCACCCTTATGAGTTTATTTCATTCAATTAACCTTTTTTGTTTTTTTTCTTTTTCTTTTGACATTTTAATGATGAGGATTTTCTTACCCAGCAAACATCAAACTCTCTGTATATAAAAATTTTACAGAAAATAAAATACGCGTGTCTAGTGATTGACAATGTTGGAATTTTCTGTATGAAGGAAAGCATCGAAGCAATAAATGTCAATCAAATTGACATTTGCTAAAAAAAACTTTGAAGAAACTGAAAGTACACTGAAAATACTATGATTTTTTTTTAGTTAAAAGTGACGAAGAGAAAAAACAAAAATTCCTGAATGAATTTATCCAGATTTTCAAAGAAGATTATCTGAAATTTACATTTAACTCGAATTCCATATCAAATTCATTTGACAGTTTTTTCTTCGAGAAATCCAATAGATATTTATGTGAATGAAAAACTTGAAAAAACCTTTGATTTTCAAATCAAAAAGTGAAAAAGATTTCATTGATTTTCAAGATCTTTTTTTTGAATATGTATGCAAAAAACTATAAGGGATTACAAACAACCATCAAACATCAAACATCAAATGTTGTAAATTGCTGTATCATTTCAATTTCAAAAAAAAAAGTTTTTTTTTGTGAACATTTTCTGTTTGTCGATTGCTAACACACTGTGTGTATTTGGTTTTGCTGTTTGGTTTTCCATTTTTCTTTCGTTTTTCTGTTTGGTTTGGTTGGTTTTTTTGGGGTAATTTATGCCTCCTATATCCTGTCCGTTCTTTTCTTTTCTGATTTTGGCTTTTGGTTTCTTCGTTGTTCAACACCGAGATATATATCAGGCGAATGGGAAAAACTAAAACTTTGGTTAAAAACTTTGGAGAGGAAAAAAAGGTCATACCCAATGATCATCTGGTCATTCAAACAAACAAACAAGAACAACCAACAATCGACAACAGCAGTCATGGTTGTCATACCATAAACATATCAAAAAAAATATTGAAAAAAAATTGAACCAAACCAAACCAAACGAACGAACCAAAGAAATGGAAAAATTGACACAAAATCAAATTTATGTGCCTGCGTTTGCTGCTGCTGCTATAGTTTTTCGTTGTTTTTTCTGCCATTCTTTTCTCCTTATCTTCAGTTTTTTTTTCTTCTATATTTTTTTCTATATTTTTGACATTATTTTTGGATGATGTAACTTTGAACCTTTGACTTTTGACCACACAATTGATAATGTTTTTTTTTTTTAGTTTTTTCTTTCTTTAAAGGTATTTGATGGCCTCTTTTTTTTCTTCCCATCATCATCATAATCATCATTCGAATGTTAACCACAATATTACCATTATGATGATAGTTTTCGACGCCAATCATCATCATCATCATCATCGGCATTATCATCGGTATGGTGGTCAACTTCAATTGTATGTCTGTATTGTTGTTAGAGAATGGTCGTGGTTATTAGTGATTTGATAGTTTTGACTTTTGTACAACAACAACAACAACAACAGAGAGAAAAAAAAGATCAAAATCAAAAAGCAGAATGAAGAAAAATCAATTGAAATTTGACCGACAAACGAATGAAAAATTTTTTTCCTTCTATTTTCAACTACAACAACAACAACAACAAAGCAGATAAAATGGCTAAAGATGATGATGATGATCAACATTCGAGAATTATAGGTCCAAAAAAAAAAAGAAAATACTTGTTGAACTAAGAAGATCGAAATTTTCCAATATCTTTCGGGACGAGAAAACAACCAAACCGAAAACGAGAAAAACAAAGTTTGAAAATTACAGATTGACAATACACAAAGAACAAGAAAATTGTAATAATGCACGCAATAACAGACAAAAAAAGAAAAAAAAACAGCATAAATTTTGGCAGAAAATGTAAAATCTGAAACAAAAAAAAACATATCCCGAAAATGAAAATATCCCGAAAAATATTATTCATATGGACGATGACATCGATACAAAACAAAAACAAAAATTTGCTACAAACGATACAGATAGACAGACAGGAAAGAAGCTGAATTTGTTATTCAAATTCATAAAAAAAAATTGTAAACAATGTTAGTGGTCCGAACAAAATGTTTCAAAATCGATGATGTTTGGTGAATGATGATGAAAATGGAAATGTTTTTCTGGCGCGACACTGTGGCCGGATACAAAAACAGACAGAGACTGACTGTATAATAACTCGTTGTTGTCATTATTATTTTGTTGCCAAAAAACTTTGCCATAATTTTACTTCAATCATCATCATCATCAACATCGAATTGGTAAAATATCATCCACCATTTTCACCCATGATGTTTGTGAATTCATTCCACTGAATCTTCATCATCATTTTTTTTTGTTAATCTTGACCAAAGAGTTTTACTTCGAAAGATGATTTTCTTCCTCGCTCTTCTTAATTTATGATCATTTTTTTCTTCTACCAACTTGGCGTCGTCTTCCATCGTCGACGTCGTCTCGCAGACGTCTTCGTCTTCGATGTTTGGTCGTTCATTAGACCATCGTACTTTGGTAACCATCAGCCAAACTAACCAAACAAATTTTATTTCATCTTTGTCTCGGTGGATGCTGATGATAATGGTCATGGGCACGGATTTCTTAAATTTTCAACAAATTTTTTTTCAACGAAAAAAAAAACATAACCAACAAGGTAACCATGGTAAATAGGCTGAGCATCTTTTTTTTTGTTACCTGTAAAAAACTACAAACAACAAACAAGATTTGTTTTTTTTGACAGTTTTTTTCATCTAGTAAAAAATACACGCGTGTTTGGCACATTATCATCATCATCATCATCATTTGGTCATAAACATTTTTTTTTTCACTGAAACGAAAGAGTTATTACATCAGGAGAGAGAGAGAGAGAGAGGGAGAGAATTGTGTTAATATCTGATTTGATGATGTCTGCTGCAGCGGCAGAACCCACACAAACACATCGAGAGATGGATGGATTTTTCATTGCCCAAAAGTTTTTTGTTTTAAAATAATTTCTTCTTGTTGTTTTTCGGTTGTTTCTGATTGTTGATTTTAATCATTTTTATTTATTTAAATCATCATCATCATCATCATCATCCATAAGATGTTTTACACATCAAAAAAAAAGACCCATAATGATGATGATAATAATAATTTTTCAAATCCTACACATGTCAATTTGATACTTTTATTAACTCGTCAATTCAGCATATTTTTTTTTCATTTTATTTTATTTTGATCGTAAAAACAGAACAGAACGAATGTAATGTTGAACGAATAATAACAACGTTTCGAAAATGATGTCTGAAAATGTTTATTTTTACGATTTTTTTTTGTTGTTTGATGATGCTCTTGATGATGATGATGAACGTTTGTCGATGATAATCGATGATGATTTTATTTTATGACCATTTTTCTGTTTCTGTTTGTAATTCGTCAAATAAACGAATAAAATGCCATGAAAATGATGATCATCATTTTCACCATGGTTTTTGAACATCGAATCGAATGAAAATGAAAATTCGAATGTTTTTTTTCGCTTTTTCGAATGTTTCAAAGATTCTGTTCCAAAATGATAGATGGCGTTTGTTGTTTGAGTCGAATAAAGAATAAATAATTCGAATCAATTACTATAGTGACATCTGTTGTTCAAGAATTTTTTCATTTTTGGTTTTATTCAGTCTTATTTTTAATTAATTTTTTTTTGTTACAAAAAATTCATTATAATAATAATAATAAGGTAATAATAATGTTTGGTTTAAACATTGACAATATTTCTATTTCTATAATGACCAGAATGAAGATGATCCTGATGATGATGATGATGACTGATTTTAGATTCGGTATCATTTTCGGAATTAGTCGTTTCGGTTGAACAAGAATTTAGTCAACTTTCTCTTCGTTTCAATGAATTTGGACAAAGCCATTGTTTTTTCGGTATCGATTGTAAACGAACAATTAATTTATATGACCAAAAATACCATAATGTACCAATTAATGCGAAAAAAAATGTTAATGTATAATAACCATCCAACCATAATACACAATTACCGGCATCTTTTTCAATACACGAATCATCATGTATATGTGTTTTATTTGATTTTATAAAACAAAATGATCCATCTAATGAACAATATGATAAATTTATATAATCTAATAATGATAATGCTAATGTATTTGGCCAATTTCCACCTAAATTTGTTAATGTATTCAATAATGTCATATATGTACCACCGATTGATGGATCCGATATTTTTGCATGAAATGACATTATTGAAACAAACATACTATAAACAATAACTTGATGAAAACAATAAATAATGATTAAAAATACATAATAATATGCTGGAAAATATGAATATTTTGCATATAATACACGTGTCCACCAAACAATACCGGCAACCAAGAATGAAAATATCAAACTAAACATCAAAGAAAATAGATTAGACAATGAAATAATGTTTGAAAAAATATTACCGAAATGGATAGGCACGAAGAAAAACATCCAATGGCCGAGGTCCATTCGTATAACGTCCAATAATCCATGGTAATGCAACCTGTAATGGTAATAATGGTATAGCCATTAATGCAATATGATCCATTGGTAGACCGGCTTCTTTTAATTTTAATGGTGTTGCTGCATCGGCAATTGAAAAACCAATTTTACATGTTAACAATATAATTGTAAAACTTTTGATTGGACCAAGTTTTAATATTTGTATCAATTTTAAATAAGTTTCCCGAATAGTTGAATCTTCTTCTTCATGTATAGTTGGTTGTTCACTTTTAAATAACAAAACCAATGTTGTAACAATAATAAAAACAATACCCCAAAAATAGAAAAAACCATCCAATGTAATTAAACCAACATCTTGTGGTTCTTGTCGGAAATAATTAGCAAAATGTGGTGATTCCAATATTAAAAATACAACATAACCAAGAAAATATCCAGCTGTTTGACCAACCGAATTACATGTTGATGCATAACCAACATTACATGGTTTTAACATTGTTAATGCCCAACCATCAACAGCAATATCTTGTGTTGCGGCAAGAAAATTTAATATTAAAAATAATGCCGTTACTGAATAAATATTTGGTCCTTCAATTGAATTCATCATTGAATCCAGATAATATGATGTAACAATCATAAATGCACCGATCAAATATTGTGATGGTATCATCCATGATTTACGACGTCCAAAACGTGATGAATAAACAGAATCAACAATTGGTGCCCATAATAATTTCAAACTAAATGGCCACATTGAAAAACTGAATATTGCCTGATCCGAATAATCGATACCACGATTCATCATTATCAATGGTATGCCAGAAATCAAACCAAGCGGTATACCTTGAAGAAGATATAAAAATAATAGTATAGCAATATTCATATAATCTCCTTTAAGATTTGGTTTAGATTTTTGTATTGAAATGGATTTTTCATCCAAATCATTGTCAAATGATGAATTTGTTGGTGATTTTTCATGTTGTCGTCTTTGGTTCAATGATGATGATGATTGATTTTTATTTTCCATCAAAAAACAAATATTAAATGGTCTGATTCAGTCTGATGATCGATAAATTGATATGTTGGTTGTTGTTTGGTTTTGATTCGGGAAAAAATTCGGTATTTTTCTTTTTTTCTTTCGTTGTCACAACTAAAAATTGATGACGATTACAAAACAAATAAAAAAATCAATACACGATATAAAAATTTACTCAATTTATACTATGCAAGTTATTCGTTACAAATTTTTTTTTACGAAAAATTTTTACGAGCATTTTTTTTTTTGAGAATCCTTGATTCTTGTTTTGTTTACCTTTTATTGAATCTTTTTTTTTTCTTACCGAAAAGAATAATGTCTTCAATTTTTTATCCAGCTACAATAATCTATCTTTCAAATCATCATCAACAACAACATGAATCAACGAAAAATCAACAATTTAAATGTACGGAAAAAAATTGCCCATATGGACCATCTGGATCGAAAATATTTAAAAAAGAAATTTTTCTACAAAATGTATGTTTATTTCAATCATTTTTTCAATGTTTTTTTAAATTCTAATTGTAAATTGGATTTCATCGATAGCATATGAAAAATATTCATGGTGAAAAAAAACTAAAATGTTCAAAATGTAATCAAAAATTTGGATTAGAATTTCAACTGAAATATCATGAAAAATATTGTGGTCAACAATTAACATGTGCAACATGTAGAAAATGTTATGATAAACCAACATCATTATGGATGCATTGTAAACGTTTAGGTCATTGTTTACCTGATAATAATAATGATCAAAATTTTAAATTTCGTAAATCAATATCTGAACAGCCACCACCGTCATCATCCGAATTCACGAAATGTTCAAATGTTATTCTTGTTCCAATGCTAACGACAACAACCATTCCTGAAACATGTGATATTTCTAATAACCATAATTCTGATTCTAATATGATGAAAATTCCATATAAAAATGATGGAAACAAATTTATATTGCCAAAAAATTCTGTTGATAATTCAAAACAAAATCAATCATCAATGAATAATAATGTTCATAATAATAATAAGTGTGCCAAGAATGAATCGAATACTAAACCAAAATTAAAACGTAGTACAGAATGTCAAACAATTCGAAAACGTCATCGAAGAACGTCACGTCCAATCGAATCGAATAGTATTCAAACACAAACAATGCATTCATCGTTTGATTTACCTTCGGTTATGATCAATCATCGTGATTATACCAATAATGATAATGATAATAATGATTGTCAACAGAAAATATTTCCATTAAATTTCGAATCAAATCGTACGAATATTGTTAAAAATTGTTCAAAAACTTCAACATTTACACAGACATTATTTGATGATGAAATTGAATCGGACATCAATACATCAATAATACAACATCATGATGATCCATTTATGATCAAATCAATGATGATTGAAGATGATGATGATGATCGTCAACAGGCTACTGATGTCAATACAAATAATGATAATGATGTTGTTGAAACAAACAATGACCATCATCGTTCATTATATCAAAATATTGAAACACAAACAAAAGAAGATGATGATTGTTCATGGGATCATCATCATGATGATTTAAGATTTAATGAATTATTTGAATTTGTTGATATTGAAACACAAACCATATGGAATTATGATCAAACAACACAAACTGATCATCATCATCATCATTCTGATGATTGGTCGGATTTTCTTAATTCTTAATATTGATAATAGGCAAAACAAAACTATTAGTGCAATAATCAATCAATCAATCAATCAATATAGTTTTTTTAATTTCTTTTCAATAATTGAATACATTAATAATAATAATAATAATAAAATGATTTGTTTTTTTGTTTGAAACAGAGAAATAAACATAACAGTTTATCTCTGAAATATATTACAAATAGAAAAAAAAATGGATATGATGGTATGCACGATGATTTTGTTTGTTGTTGTTGTTGTCGTCGTCGTTGATGAAATAAATGCTCAGCAATAATTAATAATTAATAATAATAATTTACATTGATAATGTTCATTATTTACCGTTATGAAAATTTTTTCAACAATGATTTACGAATCTTTATATAAAAAATTTGGTTTTCAATTCCGTAAATATTTTTTTTGTTTTGTTTGAGAACATAATTTTTTTTTTGTTATAGATCACAGTTTAGTTGTTTTTAATTTGGATAGTCAAAATTGATGAGTTCTTTTTTGTTATAGAATACTTTTGACAGCTTCATCCAACATTGGATCATTTACATGTGACATTGTTGATGGTACACTAAAACTATTCATCATCATCATTGAATTGTTTGATGATGAAAAACGATTCATCATGTTTGTTGATGTTGATATTGTTGATGTTGTTAACATCATTGATGTTTGTTGTTGATGATGATGATGATTTTGATGTTGATATGATAATTCATTATTTAATGATGATGTTGATGATGATGACATATTATCATTGTTGATATGATAAGAATCAGAAGCAATCATTATACTTTTGATGGCACAATTCATCTGCATATCAGCAGCAGATGTATTATTATTATTATTGGTCATTGAATTTTGAATAAAATTCGTTGTATCAATGGCCGTACTGGATTCTCTTACATTATCATCGAATGATTGATGATCATTTGGAAAAAGATCTTCATTATCAAAATGATTATTTGATGTGGCTGTTGTAGTATCACCACCATGAACATTATCCGATAATTCTAAGCTAGAAAAATCCATAGTACCATCATTATTATGATCTTCGGTAGGTATATCATTATCATCATTACCACCAATAATAGATTGTACAGCTACAGCTGCTTCCGTTTCATTAACATTACCATATGAACGTGTTGACCATGATAATGATGATTGTCCACCACCACTACCACCACCACCAGTTGATATGGATCGACCAAGAAAATGATCCTGATTTCTATGATGATGATGATGATTATGTGATAATGATAACGAATCAGTTGTCGAATTAAGCATATGATGATGATTATGATTAGAATCATTAGGCCATAATAATGAATTTTGATTATTACCAATCAAATCACTTGTATCGGTAATATTTGAATATAATGCTTCAAGATCATCATCAACATCAGTTATGGCTCGATTAGAATCATCAAAATTTTGATTATTACATCTTAATAATGAATCATTATCATCATCATCAGCATTATTATGATCATTCAAACCATCTATTCCAAGAAAATCCGAATCATTATTCGTATCGATTGGTGAATGTAATTTAATTAATTTATCAACATCATCATTATCATCATCATTCTTTATCGATGTTGGATTGGCTATAGATTCTTCGTCAAAAATATCGCATAATGCATTCAAATCGGAATTAAGTTCAGATGAAGTGGTGGTAAATAAATTTGTTGTCGTCGTTGTCGCTGATTCTAGAAGAAAATCTGCCGCAGAATTATCTTCTTCAAATTTTCGTTTCAATGTTATATTATCAAAATAATCTACATTCATCAATTCATCCGTATCAAATAATGAATGTTTTTGTCTAATATTTTCTTCATCATTTTTATGATTATCTTGTTGTTGTTGTAGTGAATCTTCAAGCCAAGTTTCAGGTAAAGGTGGTAAATCTAACACTAATGGATAAATTGAGAAAATAAAGTCAATTCAAATGCAAAGTATATTTAAAAGTCATATTACTTCCACCGGATGCAACCAATTCTTTATCAGATTTTAATGCAGCATTTTCTTCATCAATAATTATACGATTAACCATTACCTGTTCGCATGAAGGTGAATATTTCTACATTTTAATTAATACAGGAAGAAAAAAATTTCAAATTTCTTAATCAACTAACAAAAAACAAAACAAAAATTTTAACACTTACCATACTATCTTTTATAATTAGATAACGAAATTTATCATAAAGTTGTTGTCGTTTATATAATAATGTTTGTGATGCTTGTTCAAAAAGTTCATCAACTATTTAGATAAAAAAAACAAAAAACAGATGAATAAAATTTATGAAATTGCGAAAAAAATCAACAGAAAACATTACATTTTTGCAACTGTTTTTCCGAAAATTGTTGTTGATCAAATACATGATATCGTAATAAACGTTTACAAGCATCATCACGTGAACGAAACGGTGTACGACAATCCGGATGTAAAGCAGTATTCTGATCGGCATGTAATTGTGATTGTATCCTAAATAATAATAATTTCAAAAATTTATTTGAAAATTTGTTTCCAAACAAAATTCACACTTACGCTTTAAGAATATTGGATTTTGGTTTTTCCTGTTTAACAATGATCGGTGTTGTTATCACTGGTGATGTTGTAATTTGTGTCTAAAAATTTAATCGGAGAAAAAAATTGTTATGTTCAATGAAAATTATTCAGACTCCAAATGAAATACTTTTAAATCCGGTGATTGTATCGAATCTGTTGCTGTAAGGGTTGTTGTTTGTTTTGCAGTCGTTGATGGCGATGATGATGATGATGATAATGGATTTATTGGACTAGAATTCGAAATCGAATGTACTAATTGTATGGAATTTGAATTGATTTTAGGACCAAGAACAAATTTTACTGTAGTAGGTGTCGTTATTGATGTGGTAGTTGTTGTTGTTGTTGTTGTCGTTATTGTTGTTCCAATCGATGATTGATTATGATTAACAACGGCAATTGTTTGTGGTGATGTTTTGATTTGTGTTGATTGTGTGGCCCATGTTGATATCTGTAATAATTGTGCAATTTTATCCGAAATTTTTACCTGTGGTATCTGACTCGGTATAATCGGCTGTGATTGTATCAATAATAATGTTTGCTGTAATTGTTGTAATTCTTGTTGTAAATCTTTTGGTTGTTGTTGTTGTTGTTGTAAAATATTTTGTTTAATCTGATTATCTAAACGTTGCATCAATTCACCAATTTGATTTGTACGATTTANAATTGTGATTGTATCCTAATGATAATAATAATTTCAATAATTTATTTGAAAATTTGCTTTAAAACAAAATTACAAACTTACGCTTTAAGAATATTGGATTTTGGTTTTTCCTGTTTAACAATGATCGGTGTTGTTATCACTGGTGATGGTGATGTTGTAATTTGTGTCTAAATTTGATTGAGAAAAAATTGTTATTTTCAATGAAAATTATTCAGACTCCGAATGTAATACTTTTATATCCGGTGATTGTATCGAATCTGTTGCTGTAACGGTTGTCGCTTGTTTTGCAGTCGTTGATGGCAATGATAATGATGATGATGATGATAATGGAATTATTGGACTAGAATTCTGAATCGAATGTACTAATTGTAGGGAATTTGAATTGATTTTAGGACCAAGAACAAATTTTACTGTAGTAGGTGTTGTTATTGATGTGGTAGTTGTTGTTGTTGTTGTTGTCGTCGTTAACGTTGTTCCAATCGATGATTGATGATGATTAACAACGGCAGCAATTGTTTGTGGTGATGTTTTGATTTGTGTTGATTGTGTAGCCCATGTTGATACCTGTAATAATTGTGCTATTTTATCCGAAATTTTTACCTGTGGTATTTGACTCGGTATAATCGGTTGTGATTGTATCAATAATAATGTTTGCTGTAATTGTTGTAATTCTTGTTGTAAATCTTTTGGTTGTTGTTGTAAAATATTTTGTTTAATATGATTATCTAAACGTTGCATCAATTCATTAATTTGATTTGTACGATTTAATGTTGCAATCGGTATACGTTTATCATTCAAAAACATTATTGTTCCTGGAATTAAAATTGTTGTATAAGTTGTTGTTGTTGTTGTTTGATTATTAGTCATTAAAGGTAATGTTGGCTGTTGTGATAAAACTAATGAAGTATTATTCATCAAATGACTAGGTTTTATCGATTGATTAATTGAACTAGTATCGGCTGTACATGTTGTTGTTGTTGTCGTTGATGATGATGATGATGATGATGTTAATGTTTTCAATGATGATTGATTTGTTGAAGATAAACTTGATACAACAGTATCATCAACAGTATTATTGTCCAATGTTTTTGAATCAATACTGTTTATATTTTTAATCGTTTGTGTTGATAACGATTGTGGTGTTGTAACAACGGTAGATGGTGATGAACATGATCCAGTATCGATACTTGGTGTTGTTGAATCTGGTGATGGTTGTGATGATCCAAGACCACTTGAATCATTTACAACTGTTTGTTGTTGTTGTTGTTTACTATTCGTATTTTTCGTTTGACCAATTATCGTTGTGGCAGTCAAATTATTTATACCTTGTTGTTGTTGTTGTTGAATTGTTGGTAATAATGTATTTGAATTTGGTGATAATAATACAATTGTTCCATCAGGTGTTAATGATATCCTTAATTGTTGTGTTTGTGATTGTAATGATGATGGAGCTAATGCAGTATTTGCTGCTGCTGCTACTGCATTTGTAGTTGTTGCTGTTGTGGACAAATTATTATTTGAATTCGATACCATCAATATTGTTTGTGATTGTGATGATGGTGTTGATATTCTTGTTAATGGATCAATCAAAACATTGGCACTATTATTATTATCTTTTGTTTGAGTAATCGATATGGGTGATGTTGGTGGACTAAATTCAGTTAATATACCAGTTTCTTTAAGGAGATCAGCTAGATTAAGGCCTTTTGTGGGATTCTGTGTTTTTGGTTTCGTTATTGTTGTTGTTTGATTTTTTTGATTATTATTCGATGAAGACAGAATTGTCTGTTGTTGGTGGAGTTGTTGGTTTGATGAAAAATTCTGTTGTTGATGATGATGTGTTAAAAGCTGCTGCTGTTGTTGATTATGTGTTTGATTTGTGAGTATCGTTTGTGATAATGTTGCCGCACCACCACCGCCACCACCAAGATTCAATGTCGTCGGTTGCTGTTGATTAACCGGATTTGTTGTTAATGAATATAACGTATTATCAATTTGAATCGTTTGAGGTGATGGCTGTGGCGCTGGTGGTTGCTGTATCTGAGGTTGTGACGGTTGTTGTTGTTGTTGTGATGAATTTAAATTAACCGAAAGTAATATTGGTCCATTCGGTGTTTGTATCTGTATTAATTGCGGTGTAGAATTATTATTTACAGTAGTCGTTGTTGATGATGATAATGATGTTGGTGGTAATGGTTGTTGTCCAATTATTTGTGGCCTAATTATTAGATTACCTGGTGCCTGTTGTTGTTGATGATGTCCAGTATGCCGAAATGCTGTTAATCCTTGACTTGCTTGACTAACAATTGGTGTAGTATTAGTATTCTGATTCAATAGGATATGATTCAAAGATGTTGCATGAGTAATATTTGATGATTTATTTGTATTTATAATCGATGATGATTGAGGAATTGTCAATTGATTTAATTGATCATTATTATTATTATTATTATTCAGATTATTTGCGGCAGTCGTCAATGCATTTGGATTAACCAAAAATGTTTGTCCGGCTAATGAACCAGTACCAGCTGATGGTCTAATTGCTAATAATTGTTGATTTTGTAATAAGAATTGTGGTTGTTGTGTGAATTGTGTTGGACCACCAGTATTTGTATGTAAAATATTATTATTTGATAAAAAAAATGTACCATTTGGTCCGGCAATCAGTTGTGGTTGATGATTTTGATGAATACCACCACTAACACCACCACCACCAATTAAAAATTGTGTAGCATTCGGATTTGTTGATGTTGAAAAAGGATTTGTCGTACCACCAATGGCTGGCGCTTGAATGAATTTTATGTTTTGTGAATTATTCAAATTCTGATTCTGATTCTGATTCTGTTGATGATTTGTTTTTGAATTTTTTGCCGAATTAGGTTTTGGTAATATTTGTTTATTAGAACCTTTGGAATTTTTTGTTATTATGGCAGCTGATGTTGTTGTTGGCGTCAATACTGTTGATGTTTGTTGTTGTTGTTGTTGTTGGACATTGATAGTTTGAATATGGTTCGATGTTGCAATTGTTTGTATTGGTGCCGTTGATGGTGCCTGTGCAATTAATTGTGGACCTTGTGATGTTTGAATTATCTGTAATAATTGTGGCCCGGTTGTTTGATGTTGTTGATGTGTTAATGAAGGCCTTGCAAATACAAATTGTTGTTGATTATTTGATCCATTTGTAGCTAGCTGTAAACCGCCAGGTAATATAAATGGTTGAGGTAGTACAGTCATTGGTGGTCTTGGACCTAATTGAAATTGTGGTGAAGAAACAAATGTTGATGGATGTCTTATTGATTGAACATTTGATGTTGCATTTGTATGAGTTAAATGTGATCCGGCAAAAATCAAACCTTGTAAACCACCACCACCACCAACACCAGTTGTAGCAAGTGAAGTTATTGGTATAAGACCGGTAGTAGAATTAAGAAATGTTGGTGTAGCAGCAACCAATGTATTTGATGCAATACTAGTTGCTATATTTGAAGAACCCAGAATACCAGAAATCGATGATATCGATGTTGGTGTTGTTGATGGTGTCAAATTTGTCATTTGTTGATTTTTCATCGATTTCGATGATGAATTTGAATTTGATTTAGTTGCAACGGCAGTAGATTTTCTAGCTCTTACTGGTTTATTTGTTGTTGGTGTTGTTGTTGTTGTTGTTGCCGCAATATTGGACGCCATCAATTGATTATTATTATTTGCAACAAGAATTTGTGACGCTAATGTTTTTGGAATCGTTATTATTGGATTAATAATTCCATTATTATTATTGTTATTTGGTACGATTATCGGTTGCGTTGTTGTTGCTGCAACCATAGATGATAATGATGGCGCTGACAATTGATCGATTGTCGTTGCAGTATTGAAAACAGAATCATTTTTATTCTGATTAATTATAATTGATGAAGAAGAAGTTGTTGATAGTGATGGTGGTGGTGGTTGAACAATCGATGGTGCACTGATAATGGTGGCATTTGATGCCACCGCCGCTGCCGAAGCCGAAGAAACAACAACAACATTCGATGTTGAAGTTGTCGATAATGAATTTGAATTTGTTTGCTGTTGTGCTGTATTGTTATTATTACTATTATTTTCCAAAAATGATTGTAATAATTGAGGATCATTGATGACATCGAGAAGACATCGACCTCCATCATCCATTTCAGTAGTAGAACATTTAATGTCTAATTAAGAACGAAACAACAAAAAAATGTGATAAATTTTGATTATGAAAAAATCCAAAAAATGAAAATCATACCTTTATCATTTACATAGATGAAGTATCAAATGAATGATAATTGATTTGTCGATTAAAAAAAGAAAGAAAGAAATATGATACTTTTCAGTTAATTTCAGACGACAAAAATAAAAAAATGCATTTTTCATCAAATAAATTCAGCACAGGTAAAACAAAGTTGATGATTGATAGATCGAAAATATGAGAAAGAAACATATACAAACACACACACACACAGAGGAAATAAACAAACAATCTGCTCTACAATATTATCATCATTGTTTGTTTGTTTGTTCGTAATTATTATATAGTTATTAATAATATTGTTGATGTATATCAAATGGACATTTATATATGGCAGACGAACAACAACAACAACAACAACAAAAATGGCAAACGTTGTGATCGATCCAAACGATAAAATTGGTAAATATACACACACAGAGACACAGAATATCGATAAAATTCTTGGTTGTTTTCAATCGTCGTTGTTGGTCATTAAAATTCTTTGAATTAAAACCAAATGCATGCTGCTTGATGATGATTAGAATGAGAATGAGAATGAGAGAAAAAAAACGAGGGAAAAAATGTATTAGATTAAAAACGTGTATCAGAAAATGTGATCATTCACCTTTTGTTTTGTTCTTCCAGTTTAAATAATGATGATGATGTGATTTTTACAACAAACCATATGATTTGACGTTCTGAACGGATTCAATTTACAGAATGATTCCTCGTGCATAAAATAAAACCGAAAAAAAATTCATGAAATTCATAAAATATTTTTTAATATTTTTCAATCCAGGTAAATATTCTCATCATTTATTTTTGTTTTGATCACCATCAACTTTAAAAAACAATTTTAAAAACAGAACAACAAAAAGACAATGTTGATCAAATTATTGTCGTCATGATGATGATGATGATGATGATGATGATGATGATGATCAATAACATCGAAAATCCATAAACAAAACAACAACAACAAAAAAAATAGAGAGAGAAATGAAATTAGGAGCAAAGGGCACAATGAGTGTTTTAGTTTATGCAAACATGAGTATAGAGTGTGTATATCATCCATTTCATTCATAACAATATCCCATTATTATCGAATGAACATTCTTTTTTTTTTTTCGTTGAATACCTGGCGGCATATAGATTAATTGATATATATATATGTACCACTATATATACATTTTTTTTTTTTTTTGTTGAAACATACACACACAATCAATTTGTGTAAATATAGCCGAATTTTTTCTTTTTCATATGTTAATATAGTCGTTGTAGAAAGTAGCAGTAGCATTATCGAATGTGATACCTTCATTTTTTTTGGATCGCAGTAGTAGTTGAATTTTATGTTCAGATGGATGTTTTTGTTGTAGTGGCAGTTTATATTTGAAATCGAATATATTTTTTGAAACATTCTTTTTTTCGTGTTTACCTTGAATTTTGATTCCAATGATTAAAATGAGAGAGAAAAAAAGTTAAAATCTTTTGATAAAAGAATAAGGTTTTTATTTTTATTTTTTAAAAAATTGATTGTCAAATTGTATCATTTTAAAAAAATCGATAGAAAAAAAAATAGAATCATTGTGCATATCATATGCAAAGAAATATCACAGGTGATAATTATTTTTGAAAAAAAAATTCCAGAATAATAAATGTCGATTGAATAAAAAAAAATTGACGAAAAAATAAAATCAATATAAAATCTTAAAGATGGAAGATTGAATTAAATGCATACAAAAGTTGATTAGAAAATTTTTAGAAAAATTTACACGAAAAAAACAAAATGAATGCATTTTCAATGAAATAAAATTAGTTTATAGACACGCGATGGTGATGATGATTATGGAAATTGATCGACATTTTTGATTGATAGATTTGGATTGTCTTTTTGCAAATGTCCCAAGAAATTCTCATGATCAATGATTGTCCAATTTTTTATTTGCCATTTTAATGGCATCAATATCATCATCATTATCATTATTATCAATCAATTCACTACTTTTAATAAGATTCTGATATTGATGAATAGTTGGTTGATTTGATTGTAATTGTCGTTGTGATGATATTGGTGGTAATGGTTGATTTAAAATTGATGGTAATGTTGTTTTTGCTGATGATAATGAACGTGGAACATCATAATCATCTGGACATGTTGTCGTTGTCATCATCGACGTACCAGTTTGTTGAAGAAAATTTACTAAAAAACGTAAATGAAACCATCAAAATAAGTAAAACCAAAAAACAAAAGGGTAAAAACTTACAATTATCGATTGATCGTTGATCATTATTCGATGTCGATGATTTTATCTGATTCATTTCATCAATTGTATGATATAAATTACTTATTTTATCTGATAATTTTGATTTTTCTTCATCAATCGTATGATATACATTATTATTCGGCACTTCATAATGATTCGATGATGATGAACCAATACCAAAAGTCGTTGACGATAATGATGGTTTTTCAAAATCATTAAATTTTGAATTTTGAATCAAATTAATATTTTTACCACTAAAACCATTATTGATATGTGTACAATTATTTAATAAACCTGATGAAGATGTTGTCATTGATGATGATGCTGCTGCGGCTGCTGCTGTTGTTGATGTTGATGAATAAACAGGATTATCAAAATGTCTTGGTTCCATCGATGAATGATGATTAAAATATTGAACATAATATGATAAATCTTTAATATTCAAACGTTTACGATAATAAATGAAAAACATTGTCGTTGCAAATATGGCCATTATAAAGAATAATAACCAAAAACCAATTGATGAACCAGTAGATATTTCTTCGATTTGTTGTGCACTTGCAATCGTAACAAACATTTCACAATTTTTACCTGTAAATCCTAATTTACAAGTACAACCAATAACCGGATCACAAACATAATTTCCTAATGGACATTCACATGATAATAAACAATTTGTACCATAAAAACCATCCGGACAAATTTCTGAACATAATGTTCCCATATAACCATCTTTACAAAAACAAACACCATCCGTTGCACGACATGTTGCACCATTTTGACATTTACAATGTTGTCGACATTCTAAACCATATGTATCTTCATCACATTTTTTCGTACAAGTTGATCCTTGCCAACCAGGATAACAAATACATTTTCCTGTTTCATGATCACATTGTCCACCAATTGTTGAACAATCACATTTTTTTCGACATTCATGACCAAATGTTCCTTCTTGACAAGTTTTTTCACAAAAAAATCCACTATAACCAGGTAAACATAAACATGATCCATTCACTGGATTACATGTTTGATTTGAATGCATACATAATGGACAATCTTGTACACAGTTTCGGCCAAATGATCCACTTTGACACTGAATTTTTTTTTGAAAACAAAAAACATTGAGGATTATCACCCAAGAAATGTAACCATCACAAACAAACCTTTTGATTACAATGATTACCATATCGACCAAGTGGACAAAAACAATTATCACCATCATTATAATCACAGGATAATTTTCGTTCATCATCATTATCATCACAATGGCAATTTTGTTGACAATTTTCACCATATTTTCCTGTAGGACATTGAATTTTATGTTCACATTTTTGACCTTCATATCCAGGATGACAAATACATTCACCTATATTTACATTAATAAATCAAAACAAATTAATCAATGTTTTTTTTTATGCTAAATCACATTATACTAACCAGTTATATGATTACAAATTTTTGTATGTTCCTGATTACAATCACATTCATATTTACAATTTAAACCAAATGAACCACTGGCACATTTATGGCTACATAGAAACGAAAATAGAAAATAGAACGAACGAATTAATCGATTATTGATCAAATTATTGATGGATTTGTTTACCTGCAATCAATTCCAGTATAACCAGGTAAACATGTACATGTACCATTAACAGGATTACAAGCACCATTATTTTGACAACGACAATCATTTGAACATTTTTCACCAAATTTTTGTGGTGGACATGGTCGATTACATTTTAGACCTGAAAATCCGGCCGGACAATCACACTATTTTCACAAAACGAAGAAATATTTCAAAAATTTTATCAGAATTTCAAATCAGAAAGAAAATCACGTACCTGACCATTTTCTGGATTACAACGAACATTACCAAAACAGATACATTTCTGTGCACAACCAATACCATACGTACCGGCAAAACATTGTTTTAAACATTTTTCACCTGTCCAACCAGCATTACAAATACAATCACCAGTTATATGATGACAAAGACCATTTTCACAATCACAAATACGTTTACAATCATCACCATAATATGGTGGTGAACATTGTTTATAACAATAATCTTTAAAACCAGGTTTACATTTACATGTACCATCAAATGGATCACAACGAATCGTGTTGTTACTATGACATTGACATTGTTTATTACAACCATCATCTAGTCCATATTTTCCTAATGGACATTCACGATCAGCACAAGTAGGTCCAGTATAACCTTTTGAACATATACAAGTTCCATTTATACGATCACATTTTGCATCATTTTCACAATTACAAGTAAAAAGACAATTCGGACCATATTTATTATCTGGACATTCGATTTCACATTTTTTCCCAGTAAAACCAGCCGAACTATTAAGAAAAGAAATCAAAAAATTAAATCAAAAATCAAAACATTAAAAAATCAAAAATTTTTACCATTGACATTCACCGGTAACCGGATGACAAACACCACCATTAAAACATTCACATTCATTTAAACAATTTGAACCCCAACGATTTTTCAATGAACAAGATTCTTTACAAAATTCACCTGACCAACCAGATGGACAAATACATTCACCATTAATATGATTACAAGTTGCATTATTTTGACAATGACAAATATTTTGACAATCCGGACCATGTTTTCCTTCCGGACATTTTCGATCACAAAGTGCACCACTAAATCCTGGATAACATTTACATTGGCCAGTTTTTTGATCACAATCACCTTGTTCACATTGACATAATTGTATACAATTATGACCAAAATGACCATGTGGACATGGTTGATTACAATTTTTTCCAAACCAACCTTCAGAACAAATACATTCACCAGTTACTGGATCACAATTTGCACCATTTATACATTCACATTTTTTTTCACAATTTGTACCAAAATGAAGATTTGGACAAGCTTTTGTTTGGTGGAATCAAAAAAACAAAACAAAAAAGAAAAAAATCAAATTTCAAATTTCAAAACAACAGAAAACAAAAACTCGAAACTTACTTTTATTACAACTATTTCCACCCCAACTAAAATTCAAAGAAAAAAGAAAAATTCGAATCATTATCAAAATCGAACAACAAAAACGAAAAAGAAAATCTGATTTACCCTGGTTCACATTGACAAATATCTGGTTTGATACATTTTCCATGGATACATTGATCTTTACAGATGGCTATGGAAGACAAGAGAAATTATTGTCGAAATTTATCAGATCAACAATGAAAATAAACTTACGTAAACAACGATTATCAACTTCATAAAAACCATCACAACAATGTTCAATGATTTGTGAATCATTACGAAATTTTGTTATTGTTTCCATACGATAAACGACTCTATTTCAAAAAAGACAGAAAATTCTCAGAAATTAAAACAAAAATCAATCGGAAATCAACAACGAAAACAACAAAAATCAATCGAAAAATTACATAAAAGTTCAATGATTTTGTTTTTTTTTGTTGTTTTGCTTGGAAATCAGATAAACAAAAAAAACATACTTTAATTTTGGACATCTAGGCGGTAACTGTAAACACCAACCAACTGTACGTATTTCTTGTGGTTTTGGAATTTGAACCTCATATTTAATTGGTTTTCTATAAAAAAAAATTTTAGCCAAAAAACAAGAGATTAAAACATCAAAATCAGAATTTTTTCTGTTTCTCTAACAAAAACCTACGTTTCTTTTGTTGTACAGATATTTGGACCTTCTAATTTACCAAATGTTGATTCAAATGGAATGATCAGAATGAAAATGAAAAATATATCCACAAACACTGAGGAAGACATTTTTTCGATGGAATTTTTCGTTTTTCTGGATCACGAAAAATTTTCCAGAACAAAAAAAAAAATAGGATGCTAATTGATTGACGATGAGAAAAGAATAACACTTTTTGTTGTTGGTGGAAACAAATTCACAAAGTTCACTTGATAAAATCAAAAATCAAAAAAATCAAAAAAAAAATTAAAAACGACCAATTTTTGTGATTGATATGAAAATGTTTGATATCAAATGTGTATCGATTTCATTCGAATATTATCAGCAAAAAAAAAATGAATCATCGTTCGATCGAACGTTTTGTTTGTCGTTCGATTTTTGATTGATTGATCTTTTTCTGAATGACTGTAACCAAAATGAATGTTTGATATTTCGATGATTATAATGATGATGATGGGGATGATGAGCAAATCAGAAAAAAAAATCACAATTCGTTTTGTGCGTTTCGTTTGCTGTAGAAAATTTTCGGGGTTAGTTGACCGTTACAAATGGTACACCATGAATGAATGAACGATGAATTATGATCGTTCAATGAATGAGGACGGAGATGATAAACTTAATCAAATTTAATTACCACCATTATCATTATTGTTATTGAAGTGACGATTTTTCCGTTGCATCACAAAAGTAAATCGCTAATAAAATGTCAATTTTTTTCTCGTTTTCATCATAACCACACTCAGCAAACAAGAAAATAACAAAAATATGGATGTGATTGCAATATCATTAATGTTTTTGTTGTTGGCTACATCAATTTCTAACTGTAATCATTTTTTTGTTTGAAAAAATCATTTGTTTAAATCGAATTGCTATTTGATAGTTTAACCCCACGTCATTATCCGTCCGATAGCATTTTTGTTTTCGAATGTTTTGTTGTTTTTCCCATAAAAATTTTGTTGACAAAAATTTCTCTCTTTTTTCATTCCAGAATGCTTCTACCATCTACCACTACTTTGATGGGCTGTGTCCATTCGTAGAAATTGATGAACCAACCAATCAAAACAGAAATATCTTCCACTACTACAAACAACAACAACAACAACATATGGCCATTTAAACATTCGAAAACAAATGTTTTGGGTACAAAATTTTCTTTCGATTTCGAGCGTTTCGAAGTTAATTCTTTGAAGATTTTTCTGATTTGAATGAAATATGATAATGATGATAATAACCCTGATAATGACTGACTGAATGGATGATTGAATGAATGGCTGCAACTTCGTTTATACTTACATTCTGATGTTTGTCACAGAAAAGGAAAGAAAGTTGAAAGATCAATATACGATGAATAGAAAGAGAGAGAGAAAAAAAAATTGAAAAAAAAACATCCGGGATGGTTACAAGTTAATTATGTAATAAGATAATGAGTATAGATACGAAAAAAAAGAAAGTTCTTTGTGTTTTTGTTGTTGCTTATTTTACACTAACACCATTCATCAATCAACTTTGTTTGTTTGTTTGTTTCGGTTGAATCCTTAATCTCATTTCTGCTCAAAAAATTATCAATTTCTCGATTACAATAACAACAACAATTATCACCAAAAATATGGTAGATAACAAATGAAGAAATGAAAAATAATCTTTTGATAGTTTTAGATTAATCAATCAGCTTAATAATCACTCAACAAATAAAATGATTGTAGCAAAAAATTCTCGAGAAAAAAAATTTTTTTTGCTACATTTTTTTTCTGTTGTCGTTGTTGTGGCCAATTTCTGGATCACCTCTATTCAACCAAACAGAAAAAAAATTTCTGATGAAAATCAATAATGCGTAGCTAGTAATTTAGTTAATCAGAAAAACAAAACAAAACAAAAATGAAAAAATTCAAGGTAAATAATGATTTAGTCATAGGAAAAATATTTTCGCAGTGAAAAATTCATTTCATTTCATTTTCTTATTAAAAACAAGGGATTTATTTTTTTCAATCAACTCTTTCTCTTTTTTCTCATTCGTTTTACATTAAAAAAAACAACATTTTAAAAAACAAACAACAACAACAACAAATTCTTGCCATTTTTTTTTTGAAAATCAAAATTGATCAATATCATCATGTTGTTTTCGTTTGTTTTTTTTGTAGGGAGGGTAGGCGGGGGTTAATAATTTTAGTCTTATTATTATTTCGGAATTACAAATTTTTAGAAAACAGAAATCTGCAGATTTTTTTTTGTAGTTGTAATTGCGTAAGTGTTAATGGTGTGTGTGTTTTTGTCAATTCATGTCAGAATTTATCCTGTTGAAAATTGTAACTTAAAAAAATGATGATGATGATGAATGAAAGAGAATTCATGAAAAAAAAATTCATAGCGACTAGAATTTGATGTAGAATAATTTTTTTGTTTTGTTTCTTCGCTGAATTTGTTGCTGTTGTTGTTGTTGTTGATGATTTGGATGATGCGATGACGATGAAGAACTGATTGATGTAAAATTTCCTTCTCTCATTTCGGCAAATGATGTAATTTGAAAATATAAATTCTATATGGATGAATGAATGACGAATGATGAATGATAACGTTGAAAATTGATTGCTAAATTAATTAATTAATGATGATAATGATGATTTACAAAAGAATTATCGAATAGGAATCTCTCTTTTATCATGATTCGAAAACATTATTTTAGATATTTTGTTTTTGCCAACGACAATCACCCAATTTCGTTCCCAAAAAAAAATCAATCAGTCTGATAAGCAGATAATAATGCTGCATCAACCGGTTCCATACATGATGGACATGTTAATGAACGCATTAACCAATCATCAATACATTTTGTATGATAAATATGCATACAAGGTAAAAAACGTATTGGATCATCGATTAAAAATTCAATCATACATATCACACATCTTTTGAAAGAAAAGAAAAAACAATTCGTTAATTACCGATCATATATTTTAGCGAAAACAAACTTACTCTCGATTTTTTTTACAACCATCATATGATCCAGTTGGTAAATGTTGTATTAGACCGATTCTTTGTGCAATTTTTATCTGTTCTTCTTCGGTTAATTGATTTACTTGTCGACTAACATTTGGTGATGGATAAAATAATAATGTTCCCGGATTATTTTCCTATATTTTTTCGAAAACAACAAAAAAAACACCGAAAAACACGTCAATCAAAAAAGTTCAAAGGGTTAATGACATTAGTTTTTTACCTGTTGTTGTTGTGGATGATGTGTACTACCAATCAGAATAGCATTAACAATATTACGTGTTGCTGTTGAACTACCTGCATCCGAATCCAAGGCAAAATGTGTCTGTGCATAATTCTGTTGTTGTTGTTGTTGATGTTGTGTTTGATTAAAAATATTGGCCACTGATAATGATTGATGATCGGATGATTCACGTTGTGCTGTTGGTGCACTATCACGTAATAATGATATATCATCATGTGATGATACTGTTTTAAGACAATTGCCCATTGTGTATATTGTAATTATTATTGAAAAATAAAAGAATGATTTTTCTGGTTTTGTTGTTTGAATGTTCAAAATTGTGAAACACAATTGAAACCAAAAGTCGAGTCAAGTCGAATAATATTCAAGTATTTTTTGTTTCAAGAATTTTCGAATTGAAAAAACAAACAAAGAAAAAAAAACTAACTCGATTCTAATTCGAACATAAATTATAAACTTAAGAATTCGAATGTTTTGCTGTTGTTGGTTGATTAAACAGAAAAAAGATGATTTTTTTTTTTAAATTAAAAATATATAACCAAAACGAATACTGAATTCAAACTAAATACCAGTAAAATAACACAAATTTTTATACGAATTTTCTTTTTTTATCACAAAAAATTATTAAATGAATCCGAATGACTTTTTCAGAATCAGAATTGAATCATTTTTTTTTTTTTTTGGCAAGCCAAATTATTCCCAAAATGATGGTAAAATTGTCAAGAATATTCACTTTTGGTCAAAACAAACACACACACACTTATCACATCACAAACATATATCAAAGTTTTTGATTATTCATAATTCTTCAACATTTTTCGTGACGATGATTATCATTTATTCCATTGTTTGTTTATTTGTTTGATGACGATTTTCATCACCATCTTCGTCTTCATCATCATCATCATCACCATCATACGCATTCAATTTTCTTTGTTGAAACACAGAAAGAAAGAAAACATCGAACAAAATGCTGCATGACAACAAACAAACGAAAACAACAAAAAACAAAAACAAAGAGAGAGAGAAAAAAACATATATCTAGCGATGGTAGCGACACACAACGACGACAACAACAAAATTTTGGATGCTCAGCTGCTTTGACGCAGTCTCATTTTTTTTCTCTTTTTGAAATGATTTTTTTTTGAAAAATTTGAAAAAATTTAAAGAAAAAAAAAATGAATTTTAATAATGAAAATTTGATACAAATAAAAAACAAAAACAGAACAAATAAAATGAGAATGATAAAATATCACATTTATAAAAATGAAAAGATTCGTTTTCAGCAATTCAAAAATTCATGCAACCATTTCTAATTTACGATATTTTTTACGCATTGAACTAACATCATCTTTATATAATAATGGTTCAAAACGTATTTTAGATTTCATCAATGGTATATAGCCAAATAATTTGATTAATTTTTGAAAACAAGATTTTCGATCAATCCATGCCATCCATGAATCAAACAATGTATTACCAATACCAGATATGGTTTTTTTTCTTTGCGTTACTTTTAATGGACTTTCACGGATTATATGGCTGATTAGGAAATCTAATCAAAGAAAAAACACAAAATCAAAAATCAATGAAATCAAAACAAAAATTAAACTTACTAAATGCTAATCCGGAACATTCTTCATCCAAATTCAATGTACCATTTAGATTTTTTGAATAAATATGTTCATAATAAAGATAATTATAATACCTGTGTTGTTAGGTGAAACAAGGTGTTAATAGAATTCAAAAGAAAACAGAACATCATCATTAACTTACTTATGATAGATGACAGCATCGAATAGAATTATTGAATATTGATTTGTCCATTTCGAAGTATAGGTCCATTGATTTTTAACATTATCAAAATAATGATCACGTACACTGAAACCGATTAAACGTTCGGAAAATGATTCCCAAACAAGATAGGCAAAATCAATCTGGGAAAGAGAAATTTGGGAAATTAATTTCAGAAGTGAATTTCAAATCAGTCAAAAACTTACCTCTTCAGTGATAAGATTACTTTCAGGATCAAAATGAAAAATGGCATCGGTTTTGATTGCCGAATGATTATAACAGCAAATAAAACGATTATTATTATGTTTCATTTCATCATTATTCGTCGTCGTCGTTGATGTTGATGATGATATTTCAATCAAAATCAGTGAAGGATGTATTGATTGTAAATGTAATAATTGTTTAAATACATCGGTTGTTTTCAATGACCATAATATAATAATTTTTCTTACAAATTTTGATGATAATAAACTTACACGTAGAAATTTATTTAGTTGAAAATATGATATAACTCTTGAAACAGTAATTATGGCTGTAAAACCTCGATGTTGTTGTTGTTGCTGGTCAATCGATATACCATATTTTGGAAATGCATCAATCATATTCATATTATAACGTTGATCAATCCATAATGGTGTTAACGGAGATTTATTAGCGACATTCCATAGGAATGATTCACGACACCAATGTATATTGATACGATCTTCAATTATTGATATTGTTGTCATCAAGATTCGACCGATTGATGAAAAATAATTATTGTATAGGAATATTCCCCTGCAAAAGAAAATTTTTAGTCAAAAAACACATAAAAATACAAAAAACTACATACTGTAATCGCATTGATTCAATTTCAAAACGTGATAATGAACGTATTTGATCGGGAATCTGAAATACTAAACGTTCATCAGCCATAACAATAGCTGATGGCCAATCAATAATTTCATTAAATGGTAATACCCATGAATTACTTAATACAATCGGTATACAGCCAAAACTTAATGCTTCCAAAAAACGATATGATCCTAATCGTCGTCCTCTTGGTACTAAACAAAATGTTGAATTTTTCATTAATGTTTGATAATTGTGTCTAGTGAAAAACAACAGAACAAACAGTGATAATAATGATAATAACCGTTAAAGAAAACAAATCAAAACCATACCTATCATATTCAGCATTATCCTGATCACAACGTTCATCAACAAATTCTTTCCATTTTTTACCATGTTTACATGTTGTATAAATAAGAATATCTTTTCCATTATGTAAATGATATAATGAATTTCTTGTTTCACCACCAATACCATATGTATAACGTTTTCCTTTAAAAACCATTAAATATTTTGTTGATTTTATCATATCGGCATTAACGGTTTCAACGTTTTTATCCAGGCCACCATTATTATTGTTATTATTTTGTTTGAAATGATTATTATTGGGATGATTTAATTGTTGTGGGCCACGATCCGGATGATTTTCCATAAACAATGGAAATGATATATCAAAACCAGGGCGATAATTTTCATATGACATTGATGCTTTTATCAATATTGAATATTTTGGATATTCAATTCCGGAAAAATCCAATTCTAAATGAACGAAAAACAAAAAAATTCTTAGAAAAACCAAAAATAATAACCATAACCAAATATTTACCATTATAATCAGGCCATGAACCTGAATAAAGATTAAACATTAAATGATTACGACCATCATTCATTAGTTTCATTGTAGATGAATAATTTGGATTTTTATTAAAATTATATGAACGACGATCACGATCTAATGTATCGAAATTCGATATGAATAAACAGGCTTTTTTTGGATCCGGTTCATAATATTTTGATTGCCGTATGAATGCAACAATTTTACGAAATATAATGCTTGTATGTTCCACTAGATTATTATCCAATGGATAAATATAGATACGTAAATCTTTACCATGTGGACATTGATTAAAATCAAAACATTCCGAATCCATTCGACAATTTAGACCAGTATGGTCATCATCCTCGTCGTCATCGTCATTATCATTCGCTTCAAATCGTTGTTTAGATTGAAAAATCTTTTCCATTTGATAGAAACTTTTTCTCGTTGCTGATATGGTAATATTCTTGATAATTGTTGATTTGCGATTATTATTATTGTTTTGATTGAAACAATATCCATTTTGATCATTCAATAATAATATTAAACGATATAAAATATATACAAAAAATAATGTAAATAAAAGACAAATATAACGTTTTATGGCTTTCATTGACTAGCGTTTTTTGAATTTTGAATTTTTGAAAAATTCAATTTGAAAAGAATTGAAAAACTTCTAGAATAATTTCAGAATTTTATCTATTCATGATATGGGCAGGCAGTATATGTATATGTGGTGGATGATGAGGCTGATAAACATTTAAATTAATTAAAAGAAAGAATTTTCAGAATTTCAGAATTTCATTTTTTACGAAAAAGAAAAAATGTAAACACGAAATTGACAACATGCAGAACTCTCTCTTTTTTCTCTCTCTCTCTCTCTCTCTCTCTCTCTCTCTCTCTCTCTGTGTGGATCTCACTCTTTGCAACATTATCCAAACATTATCCAATATGGACTTGCATGGTCCGTCTCGGGTGTATATAGACAGAATTTTTTTTNCATGCAGAGCTCTCTCTTTTTTCTCTCTCTCTCTCTCTCTCTCTCTCTCTCTCTCTCTGTGTGGATCTCACTCTTTGCAACATTATCCAAACATTATCCAATATGGACTTGCATGGTCCGTCTCGGGTGTATATAGACAGAATTTTTTTTCTACGGGGGATAATGAAGAAGATCCAGAAAGTAGCAGAATTGATCCAAAAATTGTGCGCAAACTCAAATGGAAATTCGAATAAAGATTCTTTTTTTTTGGGGGAAATTCAAATTTTTCAACAAAAAAAAAATTCCCGCCAAAATTTGAATTTTTTTTTTTTAAATCCCTTTTTAAATCCTGTGTCTTTTGTTTTTGAAATAAAACACTTTGTATCATCATCATCGAAAATGAATTCTAGAAAAAAAAATTTACATATTTTCATTGTGTGTGATATGATAGAAGAAAATAATCGACTATTCCAAAAAATGCAATTAAAATTTTGCATCTTTTTCGGACGTATCGAATAACCGTTTAAAAGTATGTCTGTGTTTCTGTGTCTGTGTGTGTGTGTTGTGCATCATAAAATTCAAGTGCATAGTATTATTGACATTACCGTAATTCCTATACTCTTTTTTTTTCGGGCCAAAAAATGAAAACAACAAAGAAAGATTGTATAGAAGGTGAATGAATGAATGAATGGATAGAGTCGTGAATTGGTCGTCACGTGTTTTTTTCGTTGTTGTTGTCGTTGTTTTACTTTCATATTACATAATCGTGAAGGTCATAGATGTTTTGATGAACTTTTTTTTTTTTTTTGGTTTGAACTTTGTGGTGGTGGTTGGTTGGTTGGTCGATTGTTGCCAATGCAGTGAATTTTTATATATTTTTTTTTTACGATCATCATCATCATCAACAAAGCTATCATCCACGAATATAGAAAGAAGAAGAAGAAGAAACGATTACAATAAATTATCTTTTCTTTTCTTTTCTGTTATTTAACTAAAACCAAACCAAAACAAAATAAAAAACAGAAAAATATTATTATGATGATGATCGTTGAGGGGAAGAGGCGGTGGGTCAATCAGAATCATTCGAAACTATTTTGAACACACACANTTCAAATTTTTCAACAAAAAAAAAATTCCCGCCAAAATTTGAATTTTTTTTTTTTAAATCCCTTTTTAAATCCTGTGTCTTTTGTTTTTGAAATAAAACACTTTGTATCATCATCATCGAAATGAATTCTAGAAAAAAAAATTTACATATTTTCATTGTGTGTGTGTGTGATATGAAAGAAAATAATCGACTATTCCAAAAAATGCAATTAAAATTTTGCATCTTTTCGGACGTATCGAATAACCGTTTAAAAAGTATGTCTGTGTTTCTGTGTCTGTGTGTTGTGCATCATTAAATTCAAGTGCATAGTATTATTAACATTACCGTAATTCCTATACTCTTTTTTTCGGGCCAAAAACAACGAAGAAAGATTGTATAGAAGGTGAATGAATGGATTGGTCGTCACGTGTTTTTTTCGTTGTTGTTGTTGTTGTTTTACTTCCATTATTACATAATCGTGAAGGTCATAGATGTTTTGATGAACTTTTTTTTTTTTTGTTTGAACTTTGTGGTGGTGGTTGGCTGGTTGGTTGATTGTTGTTGCCAATGCAGTGGATTTTTATATATTTTTTTTTTACGATCATCATCATCCACATCAACAAAGCTTCTATCATCCACGAATATAGACAAAAGAAGAAGAAGAAACGATTACAATAAATTATCTTTTCTTTTCTTTTCTGTTATTTAACTAAAACCAAACCAAAACAAAATAAAAAACAGAAAAATATTATTATGATGATGATCGTTGAGGGGAAGAGGCGGTGGGTCAATCAGAATCATTCGAAACTATTTTGAACACACACACACGTGATATGTTTGGGTTATATTAGAATCGAATCATTTTTTGAAAATCCCAAAGTCGAGTCCATGTCCGAAATGTTTTTTCTGGTTTTGGTTTTTTACTTTTTACTTATTTTTTTCTGCTTCTGGAAAATATTTACAACCACCACCACCACCATCATCATCATCATCATCATAATCACCAGTACTAGCCAGTCAACCAATCATTGACGATAAAATCATAATAAAAAAATTGGGATCAATTAACCCATTTCTTTCTCCCAAAACATTTCGCGTTTGTCATCCATCGTCTTCGTCGTCGTCGTCGTCGTCGTTCATTCAACTACCACCATTAAAATCATCATCAACATTCGATGAAGACGAATCTTTCTTACTTTCTTTCCATCAAAAATGTCATCACTTAATTTGGATCACGTGTTTTTTCAAAACCCCCCTTTCCACCTCAAAAATGATTTAGTTTTCATGAACCCTCCTTTTTTCCTACTTGATTTTCCTTGGAAGTAAACGAAAACACAAACGAAAACGACGACGTCGACAATGGCAAAAACCATTCATCAATTGAAATAATAAAAGAAAAAGAAAGAAAGAAAGATCATTTTCATTCGCTTTTGATACTTTGTTGCCAACCAAAGATTGACTTCAATTGCATCATTATTATTATACGCGTACTTTTCAGAACAGCAACAATATCCAAACGACAATAAATTAATGGATAACCATGATGACTATTCAATTGAACAAAAAAATGGTCATTTGTTTGTGAAACGACGACCAAGGATGTGCTTTCATTTTTTTTTTCTTCTCAGAATACCATTCGTGGTATGTATGTTTATGTTTGGCTTCTACCCATTTTCATTTTCATTTTATTATTATTTTTTATTAACCAAATCGGATCAGTGGTGGTTCATATTATAACTGGCTGAATCAACTTAACTGAATCAAATGATGGAACATTTATACGATTTCCCCATTATCCATAATAAGCGAAACACTGAAAACAATCCACCACCACCATGTGATGTCAGTAAAACAAACTGTCCAATGTAATATTGTTGATTGTTGTTGTTGTTAGCCTTGTTGTTAGTGTGTTCCACACCATAACCAGAACAAACAAGCAAAGATGCACCAGAAATCAAATCAACCAAAAATGAATGAATTGATATTATTCGTTTCAGCATTTAATTTAATTTGATTTTTTGGTTTTTTTTCAGTGTGTGTTTTTCAATGTGATTAACAAACAACAAACAACAACAACAACGAAAATATGAATATATCCGGTGAATTATTGTTATTCTTGTTTTGTTTTGTTTAAAACAAACAAAAAACTATGAAAATAATAAAATTTGGTAAGTTGAAAAAACCAAAAACTTTATTTTCTTATATGGTCAAAATGAATGAAAATCTCTAAAAAAATCAAATCTCTAAAATGAAAATAAAATAATTGAACAATAAATTTTCGAAGTTTGTTTTACAAATAGATGTAGATGATGTGTGTTTACCTTTTTAAAATATATATTTTTTCATCTAATAATTTTCTTTTGATTATTGAAAAAAACAAACTAAAACAAACAACATTTGATAGTTGATTGAACCTGTTGTTATTGTTATTATTTTGAATTTATGATTGAAAAACAAGCCAAAAAAACGAAAACAGCAAGCAATAAAAGATATTTATTTTCCATATAAATATTACCAATTTTGAAAATCAATTTTGTTGTTATTATTGTTGTTATTGACTTTTAGGAATGTATATCATTTCCATGAATTTTGTTTTGAAATAAAAGAAAAGCTATCATCATCATCATCATGATTTAAGTGAGGAAAGGGGCAACAACAACAACAACAGCAACAGCAAATGAAAAGTTGATCACATCCAATAGTTATTTATTATTTAGGCAAATAATAAATTATTATTGAATTTTTTCATTTTTTGTTTTGTTTTATTTCTTCAGATTTACAAGTCTAAATATTTATGACCCACACACACACACAATAAATGATGTTTGATAATGATGATGATGGCATGTGGCATCATCATCATTATCATCATCATCATTCTACAGATCGATACAGGATCTTATCATCATCCTCATCAACGAAAAAATCAAAAAATTCTATCAATTTTAAGCTTAATATTTGTCGATTCAGTCATTGCTTTTTTTTGTTCCATTCGCAAAACAATCGGATTTAGGAAACCTATTTCGGAATCGGCTTATCAAATGTTTTTTTTTTGTTTTTGTTTCTGCAAAAAAGTAATTATTATCCAGTAATGCTATATTGATGATGATAATAACAATTAACCATAATACCACTTGGTTGTTTACTGATTTAACCAAAACCCAAAATCAATCAATCAATCAATCGATATTTATTATTATTATTATTAGTAAAATAGTAATTAGAAACATACAGAATGATAAAAACAATCCATAAATTTGCATCCACTAGTTTTTTTTCTCCAAAAAAAAAACTTCAATTACATTAAACCCGAACAAAAAAACAATCCCGACCATCATCATCATCATAATCATAGCAGATGTTTGTTATTTGTTTTCGTATTTTAAGTTATGCTTAAAAAATAATAATAATAATTCACCAAATACACGAATCTTTTTTTATTGTCATTTTTTTTAGTTCGTTGTTTTGTTTGTTTTTTGTTTGCTACAATTACCATTAGATGATGTAGCAATTAATGTTTTTTTTCGCCCATTCTCGTTCCTCTCGAACACAATCATTTAATGATGGCAGAGAGAGGGAGGAAGAGAGAGAGAGAGAGAGAGAGAGAGATACCAACGAAAAAAAAAAATAAAATTTTAAATGAAAAAGTT